AAAAAAAATCACCGTTTATGAGATATTTATTAAACTCTTTTTATTATGAATTAAGTGCCGCATGGTGCAAGGTATAGTTGCTTTTAGATGGAAATGGTGGTTCGACCTAATTTAATTTATTTTGTAATGATGCATCTACTTACGTGCAGAGAGCCCACAGCAAACTCTATGCATCACGTAAGGAGGGAACTAATTTGTACCCTTTGCTTCTGTATGTTTCTAAAACAGTCTGAAATGTTATTTTCTTTTCTTATAAATTCTTGCTTTCAGTTTTTATACTTAGGCTTGGATCTCAAAGCTCGATGGCCTGACTCAAAGGTAATTTAATTTAATAGTACTCATTCTGATTTTAGTGACGACTTGACCAAGCCATATGAGAATGAGGTGCCCGATTCCCCTCAGATGAATTAGATGCAGTGAGAGAGGAGCATCTAATTCCTGTAGATTCCTTGGAATATCCCCATCATCTTTGTCCAGAAAATCTCTGCTAGTACACTAGACAAGTGGTGACAAGAAAAAAATCCATAATTTGGAAAGTTTGGGTCACTGGTAGTGGGAGATCTCAGCCAAACTGTTAAAACCTCTTTGGTCTTAATTTATCCTATGATGGCCCCAGGGCCAGAGACTCAGTGGTGGTTTGGATATGAGGCTTTCAGCTAGTGGAACCAAGTCCTCCAGGGAAATCCTGGAGAAGCTGCCTTAACATCCCAAAAAGGAAGTTGAACCCCCTCTCCACCCAGAGAAACCCACTCGAGCCTCTCTCCTTGCAAGAACCAAGACACAAATCTCAGTTTTAAGCGAGAGTCTTCCCCTAGTCACTGTTGAGCTCTGCCTGGCCCTCGGCCTGGCACAGCCACATCTTTATTTTGGCAGGGCTGGGTTGGAGCCTTCATCCCTGCTCATTAAGAGTTTCCATTCAGGTTAAAACTCCGCTGGGATCCTTTTTTCAAACCTCTGAACTCTGAGAGCTAAAGCGAATGGAGCAATGGGAATGATTTAAAACTAGAAAATGTTGTGCTACTTTCTGTATCAACACACTATGGAGAAAGATGTTACACAAGCTTTTTAAAAAAATTTCAAACAGAGGCAGAAAAGAAAACTTTTTTACCTACTTTTCGGCTAGGACAACATAAAAGGGTTCTAAAATTATTAAAGTTCTTGATGAAAGGTTTTTTTTACAAGAATCTTTATGCTTTCAAACAATAAATTATTTCCTACTTTTTGAGACTTCGTAATATTAAAATACTTTGATTAGCTATGATAGAAGTAGAAGTTTGCAATGAACAAAAACCAACCTTCTGTCTCATTAGTGTGTCATACTAAGTGCTAATTAATTTACATCTAATTATAGTCAATGTATTTTTCAAGTGCAATTTCCCAGAACTATTTGTTTCCCACTGTGTTAAAAGACTAATAGTTAGAACTAAGTCCTCATCCGTGTTTACTGTAATTAAGAATAAAACCATTCCCTTTCAAACCAGGAGTTAGATATAGGCTGTTTCTCTAAACTCATGTACCTTGAACTGGAAGTGGACAGTGTGAGGTTTGCTCCGCCCGTGGGTTTTGTTCTTTTAGTCGTCGTTCTCCAGTGAATGTGCTTCAAACCACCCATCTGGTTCCAGACAAAGTCCAAGGTTTTTCTTCAGCCCAGCTCAGACCTGCAGAGGCACATGCAGTATTTTTGGCAGAAAAAAAGAAAGTCTTGCTGAGCATTTTGGGATGTTGCTCTTTGCCAGAGCCTCCTCCCCCAGGGCAGGGCTGGGTCCAGCAGCTCTCCAGGAGTGGTGCCCTGTTTTGGTCCAAGCTGGAGCATCTGTTCCTTCTCCAGCAGGCACCTTCAAGAAATGGAGCTGGAGTAGGGATCATGAGATGCTCATGGGGTCTGGACAGGGAACAAAGTCATGTGGACATAACAGGGACCAGAGGTTTTGTCGTGTGGAACAAGGGCTGTGACTGAAAACTCAGCAGTTAAGTTGCAGTGCAGCAAATTGTTCAAACAACATCAAAACAAAACAAAATACATTTGACAATTCCAGAAAACAAACAAACAAACAAAAACAAAAACAACAAAACCACAAAAAAAAAAAAAATCAAAACCCCAGTCCTGTCCCATTAAAAACTTTGATTCTGACAAAACTGAAAAATTTGCAGCATTCCTGACCATGAGCAGTGTTGCTCCATGGTTGATGTATTTGAACAGAGTTAGATTGTGATTTGAAACCACTCAGTGATAGTTTAAAAACATCGTCTGTTCTTCCACAGCTCTCTGGTTTTCCTGGACAGCATCAAACAAATGAGCCCCATTTCCCAGCAAGGCCTGCAGATACCATAAAACCATATCATTAACAATAATCAGTCTTTTGGTATATAACATACTGTAGCAGCAGAACTAAAAAAAAAAAAAAATGCTATTGGATCAGATTTGATTTTCCAAGAAACAAAATTTCAGGTATACCATGAGCTCTCTCTTCCTTATTTCTCATACACAATAGGAGTAAAAGCAGAAATCACTTCAGCTGCCCAGACATCTAACAATAAACTATTTTTCTGTTTCTTTTTCTCTCTGTATGGATCACATATCCACAAGGGCTAATATATCATGTCCCTTGAGGCTACATTTCTGTCTGCAGTTCTAAAGTGTTATTTCCACTGTGCTTCAGTTCTACTGGTATAATCACAACCATGTATAATGTACTTAATCCTTACTTTTTAAATAAACCATTTTAAATGTATTTGGTTTTGTGTGGAGAAAGGTATATAGATATTTAATTTCCAAATTCTCTGAGCTGAGATTTCAGGTTATTTTTTCACGTTTTTCACTGTTTGATTGCAGCTGGCCATGTTACTGGGTGCCAGTATTTCAGAGGAGATAAAATTATTCTTGTGGTCCCAAAGACCACAAAATCTCCAAGATTATCTACCTTCGCTATATTTTTGGTTAGTTGCTTGGATATTAAGAAAAACCTTCTAGTTTCCAGCTTAAACCTGTCCCATATGGGTACACAGTGCTCTCAGTGCCCAGTTTGAGCCTGGTGTGGTGGCCAGAGGCCACTGCAAACCACCCTTGAGGAAAACAACCCAGTGTATTCTGAAGTGCCTCCTTGAGCCTGAGCTTTCCTCAGGCTTTTGAGCTTTCTTTTGAGCTCACCTGGAGCATCCTCCTCTCCCTGATCTTTCCCATCTTGCCTGAAGGAAGCGTGGCCCAGGTGCTGCAGCAGCACGCAGCCCTGCTCTGATCAGCACCACCACGTCCCGCGGCACGAGCGGTGCCAAGCGCGGGTCAGCCTCTCCCCACCCCAGACAGCCCCAGCCATCCCTGAATCACAGACAGGATTCCTCCTTCAAATACTTCTTTCGACTTCACCTCCCAGCTCCTCAGCCTCCAGACTGTCTCCAAGGATGAGGACTGGCTGCCTGTCTCTGCCCACCTCTCCCAGGCTCACGATGAATTGGCACGTCTGGAGGGCGGCAGAGGATTAATCTTTTCAAACGCCTCTGACACACCGTAGTGAAGCCATTTAAAGCTCAGGCCCAAAGCTGCTCCTCTTTGAAATAAAAATAAGGTTTTTCCCACATTTATGAGCAAGTCCGTGGGTAAATGGTGACCCCAGGAGCTGTGGCTGCCTCGCTGTGAACAGGGGTGTTGGGAAAAGTGATGTTTGAGGAGGGGGGAAGCAGAGACAGGCTTCAGAAAGTGGAAAAAAGAGGATGTGGCATTTCCTTGGAATGAGAGAACCGACAGACACGGGCAGTGCCTGTGTCTAAAAGGGAAAGGAGAGTTGGTGCATCTGTCTGCAGCCCAGCTCGGCTTTCAGCCGGCGCTGCCGCGCTCCAGAGCCAGGGTCGCGTTCCCAGCGGCACCGCCCGCGGTATTTTGGGAGCTCGGAGCTCTGGGTCACTCACAGGGGCAGCAGGGATGGCCAGCTACACACAGCAGGCTGGGAGTCTACTGAAAAATACAACAGCCAGCCAAAACTCCCACATTCAGCTCTTGTGTTCCATGACTGCCGCCCCGGAATCGGGGAGCTTTCAAGGGTACCATTGGAGCCATTCCCAGGTGTTGGCTGTGCAGAACCCACCCCGATCCCATTGGTCTCACCACACTGGGGCAATGCAGGCTGGGGAGCCCAAATAGCACTGAGGAGACCCTGTTTGAAGAAAGCTCTTTGCTGAGCTCCCATCTGAGCTGAGAGCAGAGCAGGTGCTGCCTGCCCCTCTCTGGGTTATTCTGACTGGGATGGGTTTTCTGCAGAGCATTGTTCTGCAAGCAGGGAACCACAGAGTGAGGTTAATCTGCTCGTGCTGAATGCTGAGGCTGGTCTGAAAGAAATACAGAAGAGTGCAAGTGCTGGGGAGCAGAGCCAAGTCACCACCTCTGCCAGGGAACAAAACCAACACAATAGTTGGGCTTCAGACGCCTCCTCTGGCATTTTCTCCAGAAGAGAAACAGAATTGTGTCCCTCACTCACTGCTGCTAAAGTGCAACTAATTGCAGCCCTCTTTGCTTTCCAACAGGTCCTCATTAATAGTCTGTTTATTTTTCATGTGATACCAATTTTTAAATGTGAATATTTACCAGCTGACATAGGGAGGCTGCAGGAACCATTCCCAGAGGATTAGGCATCATGATCTTCTGGATGTGCAGAAAATTTCCAGGGTCTGCTTTAGTCCTGTGCTCCTCCAGAAATCTGTTTTGTTTTTGCATTTGCCAAATGCCCACAAATAACCCACAAAACCCATTTTTTTTCCCATGGGCTGGCAGTTCTAGGTAATTTTTGGAGGCTGGAGAGAGTGTTTAATCTCAGCTGCAGCAATGTGAGTTTGGGAAGCCACTGCTGCCCATGCTGGGGCTCACTGAAACCTGTTCACACTCCCAGCTCCACTCAGCAGTAGGGAAGGACCAATTATTCACTTCTGATTTCACTTCAGTTGTTCCCTGGAAATTAGGAAACTCAAAGCCAAACCAAGCCCATAGAACTTCTCAAGAATGAAGTATCTAAATGAGAACAAAAAGTGTGATTCTTGCCAACACTGGAAGAGGCACAAAGACCAACGCCAGTGAAAAAAATTAATGAGTTCCCACCCCTGCAGTCCTTGTAGGTTGTAATTAGTCTAAAGCAGGATCATTAGCACTTGATGTCCCAGCAACCAGAGCCTCACTGTGTGCCCACATTTGCAAACACACATTCACTTCCCTCTGCTCCACCTGTGGAGTTTGTAGCATCAAGGAATTGAAGTTGAGATGCAGCTTCTGAGATCAACTGATGTCTAGCGAAATTTAACAAGAGTCTACTTCAAAGGAAAAGGCATTACATCTTTCATGTGTTTCTTTTCTGGCTTAAAGTCTGCTCCCTTTAGGTCTTTCTGCTTTCACTCTTGGTTCTGGTTTAAATGGAAGCCTCTAACATCTCTGCCAGCCCCAGCATGGGGCTGTGGTCCCTGGTCCCTGTCTTGCTCCATGTCCCCACTGCCCTCCCTGGTCCCCTTCCCCTCCAATTTTGCACCAGGTACCTTCACTGGTCCCCACGTCCCAGCAAGAATGGGGCTCCAGATGCCATCCTAGGTGCCCACATGTCCCTCAGCCCCACAGGGGTGTCTAAGCCATCCCTGTCACACATCAAGCAGAGTAATGTTAACCCAAGTCATACTTCAATTATTTATTTTGGACCAATATTTTTAAACTTACACTATTTTCTCTCCCTTTCCCATGCTCTGCCTACACTTTAATTCCTTGCTCCACATTGTCCTCATCAACCTGAGCTGACACCTCTGCACCTTTATTTTGACATCAAACCGGGGTGTTAATAAAGCAGGACTGGAGTAGCTCTGACATTATCTTGACACAATGATATTTGCAGCTTTCCACTGGCATTTTTTTAACCATTCTTTTAACATTCAGGTACTGTCACCCTCCTCAGTTTGACATCACAATTGTAATGTCACCTCCACAGTGGCCTCTGCATTGACATTACCATCAAATTGGCTTTACAATCAGCTGAAATATCAAAGGGAAGGAGAGAGGCTGGCCCAGCTCCAGCAACCTGTGCTTAAGAGAGAAATCACTTCTGGAGAAAGGAATGGATGTGTTGGGTGGCTGCTGGAGCTACTGCAGGTATTGAGGGGAACCTGGTTGATAGGAAAGCAAACAAGTATTTAAGAGGTATTGCATTACAAAAATAAAAAAAAAGACACAAAAAAACTAAAACAACTACAACAAAAAAAAACTTGGAACCCACAAAAAGCCCCCAACAGCTCATAATAGTTCATGTTAATTAAGAATTATTATAAAAGCTTAGAATAAAAATAACTATAATACAAATAAATAATAAAATAGACATAGACTAGTTGGCTTATTTTATCACTCTCTGCCACAGTTCTGGGCTCTGGAGGCAGGTCCACCTCTGAGCTCCTGTGAGCCGCAGGCGTGGGGTGACAGAGCTCCAGGGCTATTATGCTGTTTAGGATCAGTCTGCACTCAGGCCCAGCACTATTATAAACACAGATGTTTTTATAACCTCGCTGAAAACTTAATCATCCTATTAATGCCTATTTCTGGGCATGCTGCAAGTGGAGAGCCCTCAGCCCCTGCGCTCCGGCAAGCGCCCGCCCGGCCGGGCGTGGGAATCCAAAGCAGCCCGGGTGGGCCGGGGCCGAAAGCTGAGCCGTGCCCCGGGAGCTCCTGACACAGCCCAGCAGCTGCCTGCGGCCCGGGGATGACATTTCCAGGCTCTCAGATGCGCCAGGATTTCGGGAGCCCTGGCGAACCCCGCGCCGCGCTCCGCTGGGAGCGCCGGCCCGCAGCGAGATGGACGAGAGCAAACCCCTGAAGGTGCGGCTGACCTTCTCCGTGATCCTGGTGGGCATCTCGCTGCTCTTCGCGGCCGTAGTGACCGACCACTGGGCCGTGCTCAGCCCCAGCGTGGAGGAGAACACCACCACCTGCGAGGCGGCGCATTTCGGGCTCTGGAGACTCTGCACCAAGCACCTTTTCATGCAGGAGCAAGGTCCCAAAGAGAAGAGCTGTGGGCCCATCAGCCTGCCAGGAGGTACGTGAGCATGCAGCAGACTCACAGCAGGCTTTGCTCAGGAGGTTGGAGGACGTGGCAAAGGGAAATAGGCTCCACGTCCCTCACGGCAGAAAGGAAAGTTTGGGATGGGGTGCACGGGGCTGTTTTCGTGTTGGTGTGCAAACACACCTCGCTGCCAGCTCCTGCTGGGGCTGCTTTGCTGCCTTGCCTTGGTCTGTCTGTGACCATATTTGAGTCTCCCGTGCAGCAGCGACAGTGGTGGGGAGAAGGGGAGGAGGATTGGGCACAGTGGGAATCACAACGGCAGATTGGGATGGAGGGAATCTTGCTGAACCCCAGCCAAGGGTCCTACAGGCACGCTGACAGCAGCAGGCAAGAGAGAGGATTTACGGGTCCACCAAACACAGCTGGTGGATTTCCAGATCCATGTAATCCCAGAGGAAAAGCCCACCCACGGTGGGCACTGGGTTAACTCTGAGCTGCTCCAGTAACAGCCATTCCTCAGGGCAGGGAGGGAGAGGGACCTGCAGGATGGTTTGTCAACTTCCAGAAACAAAAGAGTCATAAATGGAGATTGAATCAATTTCTCAAGGACTTAGGGAGCCTCCTTACCTCTCACCAGAGGCACAAGCTCCCACACACGTCTTCCCCTCCAGTTCAATCGATGGGGAGGGCAGTGGGCACGGCAGCTTTCCGGGAAGGCTGCTCCATTCTCATGGTTAAAGGAGCTCATTATGTTTTTGCTGATTGCCAAGTCAGCAACATCCACGCCGTTTGCACTAATACACTCCCTCTGTGACTGAGCCACGCTGCTTTTTTAGAAGGCTTATAGGGTACTGGATGCCTTCCAGAACAGAAATAACAGGATTGCTTTCGTGTTAGACTCGCTGCTTGAAATGAAATATATGTTAACACATATTTGAAAATTTCCTGTGAAAAATCTTCCTGCTTGGTCTGACTGTATATTGCCCGTATTACTGCAATTCTTTATCTCTTTGGCCAAATTACATGTTGTGAAGAGAGGAGCTGAGCCTCAGCATGTGGGTCTGCCTCTAACCAAACTTGGGAGTGTGTCATCCATATGCTTAATGTCTCTCAGCAAGGTACTTACGTGCCTAGAGACGCATTCCTCGCTGCACGCCTTCCCCCACGCACCGAGAACTCCCACAAAAGGAAAAACAATAGAAACTGGTGGGTAAACAGCAAAACTGCACGACCGTGGGGTAAATATAAAACTCATAAATATCCAGCTGTCTGCACAAAGCAGATTCGCAGGCAGGGCGCAGGGAAGCAGCCGCTATCTTTGACAGACATCAGCATGTGCTCGCACAGACGCTGAATCGCATCCCAGCGCCGCATTCCGCCAGGCACAGAGCGACTGGGAATTGCGGAGGGGCTGGGCTGTCCCCCACGCCAGAGCTGGCTCGTCCCATTTTTAAAGATATTTGCGAATCCGGATGACAGCCTGCATCGTAACCACGTTGCAGAGGGTGAAATTCGCACCTCAATTATAACGTAAATACCTTCATCCCTGCTTTAGCCGGGGAAGGATCAGAGCAAAGGGAGGGGAGAAGAGCCCCGGGGCTGAGGCTGCGGCCGCACGGCTCCTGCTCCATTGATTTCACACTTCTGGGAAGGGATGTCGGCAGGGAAACACCAGGGTTGTGAAACCTGCAGCAGCCAAGAAAATGTGAATGAACAAACGCGCAGTAAAAGAGCAGATGCAGGCGCTGCTTTTCCTGAAAATCATGAGATATAACCAGACATTACTGCCAGGACTGGGAAAGAGGCATCAGAATTTATCACTGAATTAATAACCATTTACCAGTCACTCCCTGTGGAGGAAATGGATGGCATGATTAACGTTATTTATGAGGTTTTGAGCTCAGCGCAGTGCAGAGTGGGGAGGATGATTTGGCTCGCAGTCCACAAAGCAGGGCTGTGATTTAGGCAGAGGTTTAAAATTTTACAGCACCCATCCAAGGGTGTTGACAAATTGAAAAGGGTTCAGCATCCTGCTGTAACAAATAAAAAGATCAGGGAGATGGTTGTTAAAACCAGACAAATTCAGATTAACACTGAGACATTTTTAACTGTGGTCAGTGGGCACTAGGGCATTTTACTGCCAGCTGTAAACGGAGCTCAGTGTCACTGCCTGTAACTCTGGTGCTGGTGCTGAAAAGTGGTTCCTGGGCAGCACCAGGGGTGTTCAACAGCTCAAACAGGTCCTTGTAAATACAGGAACCTGAGCACAGGCAACTGGAGAGGAGAAGTGCTTGAGCAAATGGGCTGCCAGCAGGGCTCTGTCCCCTGTTAGACGAGACTCACCCTGCAAGACAGGTGTGAAATGAAACTGCTTGGAGAGATAATCTCCAAAACTCCCCGTGTGTGTGTCAAAGGCTTCATTAGCCAGGTCAGAGCCCAAGGCCTGGCCCCCTCCAGGGCTCAGCCCTCACCTTAACACGTCCTCTAAGGTCCTGTCTCCCAAACTCATCACAAGTGGAAACCCCACACGAAACCCCAGGATTTTCCAACCATCCACCCTGCCACAAACTCCCTGTGCTCTGTCCATCTGGGGCTCCAGAGCAAGATGGACTCCAGCCCTTTCCCAGCCTGGCACTCCAATGCTTACAGGGGACAGCTGCCACCCAAAACTCTGTGTGGCCTGAACATCTCATGGTCTTTCCAGCCTTTCTTTCCCTCACAAAACCTCCAAATTGCAGCTCCCCAAGGTTCTACCACAGCTCAGTGGGATTGCACTTCTGCATCCCATGACTTCAGCCAGGAGTGATGGATCTGAGGGGGGGGAAGCAGGAAGGCTGTGAGGGGGTGCACTGGATGGGTGAGGACTCTCTGTGATAAACCACATTACTACCCTGAAGTTCATGCAACCCCAGAGCCCCTGGACTGTCCCCATCAGCACACTGGGGTGACCCTGTGGCAGAGATAATGAAGCTGGGGTGGAGAGAAAGGAAGATTGCCACACAGTGTCCATCCATTATCAACCCCAGTGGAAATCCTGTCTGATATGTAAACCTGCTGTGACATAAACAGGTTTTTCTCTTTTTCATGGTGGCACCAGAGGCATTGCAGTGCCTCAGCTCTGCTGAACAGACTTGTTGAAACAAAAATCCCCAGCTCAACAGAGCATGGGAGCATGTTCAAACTGAAAGCAATTCAGCATTTCACCAAAACAAATCTAGCTCTATTTTCCCATAACAAGTGTATTTTCCAAAAACACCAACCCACTTGTGTGATGACCCCTTTTATCACACACTGGCAGAGCTTTGCTAAGGGCCACAAGGGACAGAGGTAGCTCCATCTCCTGCAGACAAGTCCACCTCTGAAAGGTTTATGAGGATGGAGGGTGGACTGGACTGGTTTGGCTCCCCTGCAGGGGACTCAGAGCTGTGCTGTGCTCCCACCACCCCAAGTCTGATGCCTCCACCTTTGTACTGCATGCCTGGGGCCTCCTTTGAGTTCAGGCTTTTGAGAGAATTAATGAAAAGCTCAACCAAACAATCCCAAAATAAAGTGTCCCAGACACAGTGCTCAGCCTTGCCACCACTGAGCTGCTGGTGGAGGCACACAACCACTGCTTTGGGGCTCAAAATTCACAATTAGAGTCACAGAGGGCTGAGTTCAAATGTATTTCTTTCAGTGATTTGCAAGGATAATAAAGAACAGGTCAGGAGATGCCAGAGCTAAACATTAACCTTGTCTCCAGCAAGGAGAATCTTCAGATGAAATAAAAGTCATCTTATAAACTTAAGTAGATAAGAGTGTCTCCAAGGAATCTTCCCCTAACAGGCCCAGAAACGCTGCTTTGCAATTACCTATCTCCTGGGAGAGGGAAAATAAATCCTCCCTGAGTCACTAACTCCAGCAGCCATGACAGAAAAACCCACAAGAACCAACAGGTAGAGCACAGGGTTCTTCTGCCAGAGAAATGAATGCTGTAAGGAACCAGTGAAATTCTCACAGACAGGAACCCACAGCAGTCCCTGCATGCTCCTGCACCCAGCCTGGCTCAGGCTTCACCCTGTGCCTGTCCCAGCCTGGATGTGGAGAGGGCCACAACTTCTCCCAGGCTTCTCCCAGCATCTTCTGGAAGCTGGTGCTAACTTGTTTCCTTAACAGATGTCCCTAAGGGAAGGGGGCCCTTTTCTGTGTTTCAGGCAGCCTTGGCTCTGTTTCCTGGGCCACTGGGAGCCCCTGGGTGCTGCAGGGGTGCTGGGGCAGGTGCTGAGCGTGTCCCCCCAGCCAGCCCAGCTCAGCAGGACGGCGCAGCCGGGGCTGGCACCGCTCAGCGCGTCCCCACCAGCGTCCCCTTCCAGCCAAATTCCTGGTGAGCAACTGTTCTCCCAGCTCACACCCCTGCAAAGCCTCAATTAAATCAGTTATAAATAGCAAGAACACCCTCCACCCTTCCCCTGCTGCTGCCAAAGGCCCGAGTCAGCAGGTCCTCACCAGAGCAGGGCTGGAGGCTCCCGTGTGTCTGCAGGAACATCGCCAACCTCGCCAGGCTGAGGAGCAAAAAGCATCGTGGCCCTCCAGAGACCCAGCTGGCAACTTCCCTCATCCCCACAGTCCTGATCCCTGCTGGCTTCTCCAACCCCTACAAACACCCCGTACCTGGCACTGTGCTCATGTGAAGTCCAGACAGAGGAACTTCATAAAGCTCCCTCCATCTAACTCTGCTGTCCTACCAAATTAACTTAATAGGCTGATCAAACTTGGATAATGCCTGGCGTGATACCCTCTTTGCCCTTGGCTCATGCAGCCTCCCCTTCTCTGGGCAACTGCTTGGGCTTCAAACAGCTTTGGTGTTTTTTGCTTTGTTCTTTTTTTACTGACAGCCAGAAAAAAAAAAAAAAAAAAGCTCTTAGCATCCCTATTTTAGTAAAACACCGTGTGCTTTGCTGCATTGCAGCAGCCTCATCCCTGGGACCCCCAGATCAAACCTCCCCTGCCACACAGGGATCTGTGAGCTGCAGAGGGGAAGAGCCAGCAGGGAGAGGTGGTGAGGACACTCCATCCCCCTGTCTGCACCCCAAGGTCAGCACACCCCCATGGAGTGGCCTGGTGAGGGAAGGGAGCTGCCAACTCAGCTGTGGGCAGGGCAGGGCCCATTCCCAGGAAATGCTGCAACACAGAGGCAGAAACGTGGCCAAAGACAGAATGAGGAAAATCATCTGTAATTCATATTTTAAACAGGAGAGCAATCAGCTCTGAGAGGGATACAAAAGGTATCAGAGGGGCTTCAGCCGTGTCCGTGCTGGAGTCTGGTGTCCTCATCTGCCCCCAAGGAAATCAGATCCAGCCCCAGTTCCTCGCTATCACCAAGGGTAGGGAGCCTCAAAACCACTTCAACCTTTCTCCATCAATATAAAGCTAATTCAGTCTTACTACATTTTATCAGAGGCTTCCAAGAGCACAAAATTGAATTTTCTTTTCTCTTTCAGACCACAACTGCTCCTACTTCAAGCACTTCACTCCTGGAGAGACCTCAGAGATATTTGAAGTGACCACCCAGAAAGGTAAGAACAATTGCAAAAGAATATTTTCCTAATGTATGAAGTGATGGACACACAAGAGCTAAGGAAAAGGGATCCCCAAAATGAGAGTTCATCCCTGATTTCAGTGAAAGATGCAGAATCTCTAGCAGGCACCATCAGCTGAGAAAAATGTGGAAAATGCCCTGGACAAGGTCAAATCCCAGCTTCCTGGGGACAATTATTTTGATATATGATCACACCCATAAACATGATTTTACATAAGTTGTCCCACAAATATATAACTATGTCAATACCCAGGAAAACTGCAAAAAGTCCTTCCAGGATAAAAATGACTTTACAACATTGGCACTATCCATGACACTCAGCCTTTGCCATTGAAGGGGAAGATATTAATAAAAGCTAAATGAATAAAACATACCCCAAGCTGAGTCTTGACCCGAAAAGAAGTGCAGAGGCTCTCTGAAGACCATTAGGAATTTTATGGTTCATATTGATTTTATATTAAAGTCATGTAAAAAATAGAGCGATCAATGAATGGAAGGAACAGGGATCCTGCAAAGACATGAACTGTCAGTGTTTACAGCAAAATTGTCTTCCACAGACAACTTTCACATATTTAATAAGTCCAAATATTTGGAGGGCTCCCCTAACATGCTCCTCTCTCTTTCTCATCCTCGTTTTGTGGACAAACTCCTTCATAGTTTGCAACACAACATATTTACTGAGGAAAATGTGAGCCATTGGATACATTTCATGCATTAATCTGCTTTGCTTCTAGTGGAAGTTGTAACAGTGGAAAACTCTGAAGATAGGTTTCCTAAAAAAGGAGCTTCCTAAGACAGGAAAGACAGGAATTTTAACTAGCTAGAAAAGCATATATCTGAGTCACCTGCTTTTGCTCACTTATCTGCTATCTAATCCAGCCACCTGATCTTCAAAATGCACCCAATGCCTTCAGGGCAATGCAAAAAAAAAAAAAAAAAAAAAAAAATCAGGAAGAATTTCTTCTTCAGGAAAAAAAAAAAAGTCAGTAAGAACTTCTTTTATTTGGGGCAAAAAGAAAATCTTAAGCCCAGCAAAAGACTTTAAAATAAAATGAACACTTTCAGGCAGTTCCAGCACAGAGAAAAGAGAAACATTTAGAAAATTATAATAAAACACTGATATGAAAAGCAGTGAGAACAAAGAGTGATCTGCTGTTCCCCTTTGCAGAAATAGCTCATTTGGATGGGAGCTAATTAGTAACAGGCAAAAAAAATTCTTCATGATTTTGCCTGGGAGATATTTTTTTTAAATGGCTTGAAAAGCAAATATCATCAGGCACTGTGATGTTCATGCATGACTACATGTGTTAAACATTAAACTAATCTGAAAACGAACACAACATGCAAATGAAGGCCTGAATTACTCAATTAGCAACTCTCCCTCCACCCAGGCCCTGAGCAGTGCTGGGCTGGGGGAAGTGTCCAGCCCACGGCTTGCAAAAACCAGGACTTTTGGGGAGGGTTTAATCCCTTGTCCTGAAGAAGCTGGGTTTTTACAGAGCTGGAAATCCCTGTTGTAAAGGCAAAGGAAGAAAAATGAGCTGTGCAAACACTTCACCCCCAGCCTGCTGTGCCCACTGGTGTGCTGAGCCCACGGAGCACTCAGCTCTCCGTGCACTGGGACAGCAGCAGCACCGTGCACGGGCCAGGGCTCTGCAGAAAGCACAGAAAAACAGCAGCAGAGAGCTGCCTGTTCACTCTGGGAGCTGAGTGTGGGGTGATGGAGGGGACGAGAGCATGGAGCCCAGCTAGGCTTTGAGAAGAACATTTCCATGGCAGAGCCAAAGCAGCTCCAGCAGCCCCATAGAGGTGGGCTGCTGAGCAAAGTTGCCAAAGGGCTATCTCCAGGGGTTCAGAAAGCATTTTCCCCTTCCTGCTCTGCTTTCATACCCTTCCCATTCAAAAGATACATGGCCAATACTTGTCCCTGTTTTCACTTGAGAGAAATAATTCACCAAAGCCACCTCTTCCCAGCATCAGGGGTGCACGTATTTCTCAGTGTGAGCTACTGCAACATCCCCACAGCTGATGGCAACGGGCTCAAAATGTGCACCCTATGTCATTTTTGGTGGGTTTTTTCCCTTTGGCAGAATACAGCATCTCAGCTGCAGCCATTGCCATCTTCAGCGTTGGCTTTGCCATCATCGGGACGATCTGCGTGCTCCTGTCCTTCAGGAAGAAGAGGGATTATCTGCTGAAGCCAGCATCCATGTTCTACACCTTCGCAGGTACGGCCAGGGCTGCTCACATCTCTGGGCTTGGTTTATAGGACAACACAGAGAAACTTGAGACAGATCCCAAGGGGACAGAGACACTTCTAAAAATGCCCTGCACGCATTTTCTTCCTGGCCACAGACTACAGGTCCCTGTGTGGTGTGGTCCTGTTCAGCTGGTCTATGTTTTCTCCAACCCCCTTTAAAAGTATATTCACTCCCTTCTAATATATTCACTGTCAGTCCCAGTCTGAACCAGGGACACACAATATTCTATCTCATTTATTAAGATTCAAACCAACAAAACTGCTGATCCAAGCTCAAAATACACAATGTCTCCCAAACACACAAAGACTGCACTTGTACATGAGCCAGGAATACTCTGACATGCCACAATGAGTGAAAGACAGAGGTGCAAATTGTCACCTCAATATAAAATCTTCCTCAAACTCTGAAAAAGCTCTCCAGGGAATGCAATTATTCCTCCCCCACTTTGAATTTCCCATCCAAGCCTTCCTGAAAGATCACACTCAACAAGTCAGTGGCTGACCTCAGTTATGGCAGAGCTCCTGGCAGCTCTGAGCACTGGTTCCTTCAAACACTGAAGTCAGTGACTCACCTGTGAATCTCACTACAGTTCCTGTATGCAAAACAACAGATGAGGCAGTTAATTAAGGATGAAAAATTGACAGCTGGTTATTCAACCCACTGCTCCTATCTTCCTTCAGGTCTCTGCATCATCATCTCTGTTGAAGTCATGAGGCAATCCGTGAAGAGGATGATTGACAGCAAGGAGACAGCCTGGATCCAGTACAGTTACTCCTGGTCCTTCGCCTGTGCCTGCGCCTCCTTCGTGCTGCTCTTCGTCTGCGGCATCACCCTCCTCCTCATCGCGCTGCCCCGCTTCCCCCAGAACCCCTGGGAGACCTGCATGGATGCAGAACCCGAGCACTGATGCTCCCTGCATCCATGAAAAATATCCAGAAAGTGTTCTGAAAAGATTTGTATTTTTTAAAACGTCTGGGTCTCACTACACAATGTGCTCTCTGTCGAGTGAGTCATTACTGAACCACGGCATGTTCGATTGCAATCATTGCTTTCTTTTTCTTTTCCTTTGTTTTCCTTTCTTTTTTTCTCTCTTTTTTGATTCTTTTTTTTTTTTTTTTAAGAAAGCAGAAAGACCACTCAACACCACCATGGGTGTGTGTGAATGGCACTGCTCTGTACCAACTTGGGGTTGCCCTGTGCTGATGCAGTTGAGGGGAAATGTGTGTCTGAGACAGCTTGGGCCACAGAGGAGACAGCTTTGTCTTGGGGAAGATGTTTGGTGCAGTTGGGCATAGATCCATGAGGGATATCAGGCTTTTATACCTTACTCAGTCAGAGAGAGACTCTGTGGGGAGTCAATGTCCCCATTTATGCCACACTCCTTCCCTCAGAAGGGTTAGCTTGTTCCCAGGGTAAGTTGGAGATCCTTATGCTTTCTATTAAAATATTAACATTTGATAAAAACCAAAACAGAACTTTGTGTAGCATTGGGATAAAAATCCCCCCTCCAAATTTACACCTGGCAGTTCCATTCTTTTAAATCAACCATAAAGCCCCACAAAACAGAGTCTCGTGTTTTGCTTAAACTTCAGTGGCGAAGCCAAGAAGTACAGAACATGAAGAGTGGCATTTTCCTTTAATAAAAAGCATCATCTTCCTTTAATAAAAAGCATGATTTCCTGGAAAATCATTTTGATGGATGAATCACTTGGCCCATCAGATTCTGCCAGGTCCAGGACGGCAGAGCAGCGCTGGGTGGTGTTTGCTGCACGGAGCTCTCGCTCCTTCCCCGTGAATGAGCTTTTTAAGAGCACCCTGCTTTGCTCACTGCACATGTGTACACAAAGCTACATCTCAGGAAAAATCCTTCAAAACAGCTGCCGAGAGGGAAAGGAGGAAAGGATTCTGCCTGCAGGAGCCGGGAGAGGCGCCCTGAGAGCTGCTGCAGAATCAGAGCCCGGGCAGTGCTGGGGATGCTGCGGGCGCTGCTTTGCTGTGGGAGCCTGCAGGGCTCTGCCACAGCTGCCTGAAGCACTTTGGGGGCTGGGGGTCCCCCAGTCCAACCATCAGCAGCACTGGGGGTCCCCCAGCCCCACACCCTCACCCAGCCCCTCCAGCCAAGCCCTTCTCACCCTCAGGGTCCCCCAGCACCAAGAGGTGGGGGTGTTTCTTCTTTTTTTCTTTTTTTTTTTTTTTTTTTTCAGTTCAATTTTCAGAATCTGCTCAGCGTTTTGCCCCCAAGCAGGAAAAAGTACTTGGCTTACAGGGTACTCTTTTTACCTGGTAATTTAAAAATCAGGAGAAAGGGGAACTGAAGTGCTCTTCCCTCTGTATTTAGCTGTCCACAACCCTGAAGAAAAACAGAATTCCAAACAGAAAAATCAGTTTGAAGAGGTCTGAAATAATGACATGTTCAACATGTGGAGAAATTCCCCAGCAATTCCGTGCTGGCTCGAGGGGCTGCCCTGGGCCCCACCGTCAGGGTGGGCTCAGCCCCAGCAGCTCCAGCCAGACTCACGCTCATCTCCATTTCCCCCATCAGCAGAGTGGCAGTGAGAACAGAAGCCTTTTGTGAAATTGCATTAATGTTTTCAAAGCTCTTTGAAGTTGAAAAGCACTACAAATAACACATATATTATAAAGTTTTGGGATAAAGCACTCATTGGTGCTCAGATCTGAGTGTGAGCTTGAGGAGCTCTGCCTGTCTCTCATCATGAGAGACAACTGCAAGGCTTCACGTTGTCACAGCACCACTCTGAAATGCTAAATGGTTTTGAAATCTTATTTTTGGGTGCAAAGCTGACATCTTGAATTTGCATTTTCATTGTTCAGGAAAACAGAGGCTAGTTCCTAGGGAGAACCTTTACATGCAACAACATAAAGGAAAGTAAGTGTGACCACCAGGGTGACTGACCCTGGGTTGGGACATCCAAATCTACACAGCAAAGATAATCTAAGCAGAGCAGCTGGCAGGAACAGCAGCAGTCCCAGATCAGCCATCATCATCATCCTCATCATCACCTCAGATGTACCATGGGTTGAGATAAGCAAGGTTTGGGGACAGGGGTCTGAGTTCCTCACCCCACACAGAGCAGTGGCACATCCTGTATGTGAAGGGAAGGCCTTCACCCATCCACAGCTTTTCTGAAGTGCCATGCCTCCCTTTCAATACCTCTGCTGGGGGAAAGTAATTTCTAGGTGGGTTCTCATCCTGATGGGCAACTTTTTGCCCAGCCAAGATGCCACTCAGTCCCCTTCCTGATATTCAAGAGCAAGACATTCCCATTTCAGATAAACACACCCTGGAAGGTCTCACCCATCTCCTGCACACTCCTGATCCCCCTCATCCAAGCCCCAGTGAGGGCAGTGGAAAGATTCCTGGTGAGTGCCTGGCTTTGGCCTGGATCCAAGCTTTTACAGCATCTCTGGGATCACTTTACTCACGAGGCAGAGAAAACACACAGCTCATGGCATCAAGAACCTACACCCACAGCCAGAGCTCAGGCAGCTCAGCCAGATGCCTCCTAAAGCCCTTAAGATTCACTGAGTTTTATTCTCTTTCTGCTCCAGGCTAAGGTTTTGTGATCATTCCCTGCTCTGTATGGTCCCTGCCAGACTGAGAAGCACATGGAAAACTTCATTTTCTTCTTCCAGATATTAAGAACTGCTGAAGAGGGACCCATCCATTAAATCAGGCATTGGTATTCACGGTGGGAAGGGCTCTGCTCTTGCAGCAGGTTTGTTCTGCCAGAGCTGATAATGTGTTTTAAGAGAGTTAATAAAAGTAATTGGCCTTCATAAAGGAAAAGGAATATAATGTTGGAGGGGGGAGCTGTAACCAGTTTCAGTTTTCATTCTCTCAGCTGAGCAAACAGCAGGGAAGAGCCACCAGAACCTCTCAGGAATGTACCATGAAAATGTGAAGGAAATATCCTCACCAGCAGGGAATCACCAGAGCCCAAGAGGGATGGGAACCCAGCTGCTACACATCCAACAGGAGCACTCCTGGGCCTGGGACACAGCCAAAGAACCAAGTGGGAAACAGGCACCAGAGAGAGAGAGAGGAAATCAATTTGCAGAACAAGGAACAACCCCCAGCCACCATGAAATCTTGAGCGCTGGCCCTGCCACTCCCAGTCCCGCACACCTCCAGTCACGGGCTCCTTGGGCATTTGCCACTCCCTAATCCAACACCAGTGCCTGTCCCCTCCTCACACAGCCACAGAGAGGTGCCCCAGGGCACTGCCCAAGCCACAGTGCTGAGATCTGGGCTGCCCAAGCCCGAGTGTTAAATCACAGTCAACGCAACAGAAGACGTGAAGGTTTTTGTTTATGTAAGATTTGCTGTGAGGCGTGGAGAGAATCTGCTTCCCTTGTTTTTAAATGCTGTGCTGTGTGAATTTAATGTGCAGAAAAGGTGTCAGACGAGCAACCCTGAAGAAGAAAACTGCCTGTTTAGCAGCAAGCTGAGCTCTTGAACACCCTTCATCTGCAACGAGGTTCTGCAGGCACAGCCCAGCGCCAGCGGGTGGGGGGAGAAGAGCTCAGCACAGATGGGTGAGGATTTCACCCAGAAATCCTGGCACACACCCCTATTTCTCCTTTAGTCCAAACCTAGAAAGAGCCAGCACATGCAGGATGCTCAGGTGTTTGATCACCCTGATCAAACTGTTTACAAAGGCACAAGTATTTACAAATTTACTTTTCGGTTTTTCACTGATGCCATTTCCACTCTGTGACATCCTTGGGGCCATCACCCTTTCCTCCTCACTCAGAAATGATTTCCAGAAAGCCCTGAAGATCTGGCAATATTGCCCCTACCATGAGATCCCTGGCCCTGCTGCAGAGGGACACTCTCACCTGGGCCTGCCAGCTCTTGAGGAGCACACCTGATAGAGGATACAGGATATAGGATACAGGATACAGGATACAGGATACAGGATACAGGATACAGGATATAGGATACAGGAGTGTCAGGAGAAGTCTGCAGCACTGCCAGCCCTGGGGAGGGCCCTGGGGATTCACATGGAGCCCATGGGCTCTGTCCAGAGCTGCAGCTGGGCAGTCACATGCCAGGAACCTGACCACAGGCAGAAACTGTTAGAGAATAAACCTCAGCCTAAACTTAATTTAAAATGAGCTTCCTCTGTCCACAGTGGGACTGTGCCCCTTGGAACACTGCATCACTTTATAACTTAACTACAGGAGCATTAGGCTGCTCTGTACCATGAAACACACACAGCAGTGGGACCTGCTCTAAAAGCATCCATTCCAATTATTTCCCCTTTCCATTGTCACCAAGGGACAAGAAAAGAGCGTCACAACTTTGTTTTGACTGAAGTAGAGGATGAGATTGTCATTGCTTTGTCACACTTGATCGATGCTCGGGCTCCACTGAAGCTATTGAACATAAATTCAAGGCATGCAGACATCACACATGCCCACTGCATCAGACACTGAGCTGCTTTGCTGCTTTCTTCAAAGAAACGCAGAGAAGGGAATAAACTCGGATTTCTGGACTATTTTCTATAATAGAACCAGCAGCACAATTCTGTTTGGCAAGGCTGCACCCCAGGCTGTGGTTCAGCTTCGTGCCCAGTATCACCAGTCTCACTGGGAGCACCTCAGTGGCTTTACAGCTGGTCTTGTTGAGGTATTTACCCCCCAGCAGGAAGCCAAGTCTTCTGGAAAAGGGACTGACAACATCTTTTAACCAGTCTTGGATAATTCATACCACTGAGCATTCTGTAATTTGTCAGAAGCATCTATTAATCCTTAATGAGGTAAAAACTCCTCAACATTTCTCAGCTAAAGTTGCTAAAAACCCCCACACCGAACTGACATTTCCATTGCTGCTGCTGCTGCTGCAAATCCTTTTACTTCTCTTGAATGAAAGAAAAACACAAATTTAGAAGGATTCAGCCCTTGCTCCCTGACACAGCCAGCAAAAAGAGACTGGTGCAAGTATTGCTACACCAACAGAAATAGCCCATATTTCATGTCAAGGAATACGATGTGCAAATTTTCACAGGCACCATAGAT